TTCATATAGTAACATTTTACTTTGAAAAGTGGTAATTAAATGGAAATGACCATTCACTCTGTCTTTTCAGTAGAAAATTTGGTTTTAAGGTAATCAAAGAGCCCCAACTGGATCAAGAAAAGCTCTATTTCCATAAAAGAAAGCCACCTACCCTGGTTAGGTGGCTACTTGGTTGGCATGTCATCTGATACACCAAAAGGTTGTAGGTTCAATCCCTGATCTAGGTGTACATGGGAGGCAACCAATAGATGTTCCTCTCTTTCCCTTTTCTCTACAGAAGAAAAATTTAAAATAAAGAAAGCTAGCTAATAAATGAAGGCTGAATGATATAATTTTTTAAACTGTTCTACTGAAACTCTAATAAAATGACTGATCAGGCAAGTATTATCCATTGTTGTTTAAGACACTGGATGCATCCAACTGGTGTGGTTCAGTGGTTGAGCATCTACTCATGCACCAAGAGGTCACTGGTTCAATTCCGGGTCAGGACACATGCCCAGGTTGTGGGCCCAATATCCGGGGGGGAGGAGGGGGCGCAGCATGCAGGAGGCTTCCAATCTATGTTCTCTCTCATCGATATTTGTATCTCTATCTTTGTCTACCTTCCTCTCTCTCTCAAATCAATAAAGAAAAAAATATTAAAACTCTCCAAATTTCTTAAAGGTATACATATGGGTTTTGTACATGACATCATTTTTTTCACAACAAAATGGCAAAGTTTCAAGTTTTTTTTTAAATCCTCACCTGAGGATATTTTTCCATCTATCTTCAGATAGAGTGGGAGGGAGAGGGAGAAACATGTACGTGAGAGAGACACCTCAATCGGTTGCCTCACGCATGACACTGACCAGGGCTGGGGACCAAACTGCAACCGGGGTACATGCCCTTTACCAGAATCGAACCCAAGACTCTTCGTTCCATGGGCTGGTGCTCTAGCCGCTGAGCCAAACTGGCCAGGGCCAAAGTTTCAAGCTTTTATTTTTGAAATATTTTCTTAATTGTGAATTTGTTTTGAAAACAACTTACTTTCCCACTCAAAATTTCATATTTGAAATGACCAAAATCTAGCCAGGTCAGCAGCCACTGACCTATCACCAGCCATGGGCTTATCACAAACTTACTACTTTTATAAAATGATACAGTTCACTTGTGTTTTTGTAAAAGAAAATTTCAGTTATCTTTCATGTTCTTCAACTCTTTTACAGTATGGTTCAAAAAATTTTTAGCTTCACACTAATTTGTTACCACAGATTGTACCCTGGGGATAGCTGGCGAACGCACTCCCCCGGCACGCAAAGCGCAGTACTTGGACAGACGCTGAAGGCCAGTGAGTAGCTGTCCCCTCTTCCACCTCAGGCGGCTCCTGACCTGTGACACCAGCACCAGCCGAGCATGGGCTGATCAGTCCTATTTTAAGTATGTGTAAAGCCTGATCGTCTGTTTCAGGATAAAAGATAAACAGAAACATTAGCGCTTTGCTCTCACGCCCCCTCCACCCCCATCGGGCCCTTCTGAGTAAAGGAGGATGAAGGGCACCGGTCCGCTGGGAGGCCGCAGTTTCAAAGGGCAGAGATAAACAGTCCATTTGGGATGGACTTCTCAACAGTTTTGCTCCAGATTTGTTTGTTTTAACATTGCCACACCACCCCCCAAGTCAATTCACTAAAAAGCTTAACTCCAGCCCAGCCAGTGTGGCTCAGTCACTGAGCGCTGACCCATGCACCAAGAGGTCACCGGTTCGATTCCGGTGAGGGCACATGCCCAGGTTGTGGGCCAAATCCCCAGTGGGGGGCATGCAGGAGGCGGCCAATCGATGTTCTCTCTCTCAATGTTTCTATCTCTCTCCCTCTCCCTTCCTGTCTCTCTAAAATCAATAAAGGGGGACAAAAAAAAAGCCTAACTTCAAAATTCCTCAACGATTCCAGAAAAGGTTATCACGGCTGAAGATTAACTTTTAGGGAATTCTCATTCATCTCTCTGTGTACAAATCTCTAATCAGAGGATTCCACAGACTTCAAACCTTCCCTTATTTTCACGCGAATCTTTGGAGTATCCGTATTATATCTTGACACTCCTTTGCTACTATTAATAAAGTTCCTTTCCTCAGATGTTTTTCTCCTACTTCCCCACCTAGCGTCATTACAGCTCCATGCTCCCATGTTAGCCAGCCCTCCCTGGCTGCAAACACTTTCGCCACAGCCAAGAGTTGTAGCCCTCCTGCCAAGCTGGATTTTAGCTGAGCGGAGGAATGAACTCAAGTGGATGTACAAATTGCTTACCTGGCACTTTCCTAGCCAACCAAATCAGTGCTAAACTGAGAGCACAAAATCCTGAAAGGATTTGTAAATCTAAAATATGGTAAATCCCCCCCAAATTAACTTTGGCCAACTTATTAAAAAGAAACAACAGGCCCTGCCCTGGCTGCTTTGGCTCAGTGATTAGAGTATCAGCCCTCATACCGAAGGATCCTGGATTTGATTCCCACTCAAGGGCATGTACCTGGGTTGCAGGTTCAATTCCTGGCCACAGTGAGGGTCATTTGGAAGGCAACCAATGGATGCATCTCTCTCACATTGATGTTTCTTTCTCTCTCTCTCTCTCTCTCTCTCTCTCTCCCTCCCTCCCTCCCTCCCTCCTTCCCACTCTATCTAAAAAAAATTTTTTTTAAATTAATAGAAGAAATATCCTCAGGTGAGGAATAATAAAGAAAAGAAAACAAGAAACAACAGGCCCAAAATGGAGTCACTGTTGCTAAGCCCCACCAACACTTCATACCCAACCTAACTGCAGTTACAGCCATGCCAGGAATGGGATTCTAAACCCAGCAGTTTGGCATTTCCAGGTCAGCATTAATAAAGTGACCTGCCTCAAAGACCCTCTGCCTTCCCCTGAGGGAAGGTGACGATGCCTGAAATTCACTCTTAGAACTTCCTGTCCGACCCTCTTTCTATCTATAAAAAAACCTTTCAATGTTTACAGCTCCTGGAGCACCCTTCTAAGCATGAATTGTTAATAAAGCCCATGAGATCTTTAAATTTACTGGGCTGAACTTATATTCTTCAACAATATCAAAATAAAACCTTAAATAAAGTCAAAAGGCCAACACCAAACTGTGAACAAATATGCCAACAAATTTTCAATAAATAGGCCAAGGGGATAATGTTTTTAACTGGCAGCAGAAAACAGCAACAACATTTAAAAAGCGAGTTTTTATTTATAAAGTGACAAGTGTTTTGTTTTCATTTTCATGACAACCCTTGGTTCCCACCATGCCCACAGCTACCCTCTCCGGGTTCCTGGCACTGAGGTCCCCAGGTCTGGTTCAGGACCCACCATCCCGGGGACAAGCTGCTGCCTGAATGACCCCGGCGGGGCTGTGTTCCGCTCGGGAGCATGATCTTAGGGACACTTTCCCCCTGGGCAGCGTCAAGGCTGTGACTGCCACATGGGAGCCATTCCTCCAGGGTGCTCTATAAGATGTTATAAACCCTAAGAATTCTGGCTGTGTCTTTTCTGTAAAGCTGTCACAATTTACTCTAATCATGGGGGTTCCTCCCCCCAGTGACTGGCCAAGTGATGGGAGCCAGCGTCCTTGTTAAAACAGCCCTCTCTTCATACTGTCTTTGTCTTGGGACCTTGCTTAGGCTCTCTCACCCCTACGGATTTCTGCTGCTACGCACAACAAACAGCGGCAAAGCTGGGAGAGCTGGGTACGCTGAAGAAATCAAATTCTAAGAGACACAACCTACAACCTGCGCTTCATCCTCAGAGATGATAAGAAAACTCCCAGTTATCTCAGAAGCATTTCTCAACCGCTTCTGTGAGCACAAAAAGGAAAACAAAACCCCAAAGGTCTTCATCACTGTTGTTATGATACACCTTAGACAGAGAGTACGACAGCATTCAATTTCAAGGTAAAATTTTAACTAGTACCACCAACTTTTGGTCTAATCAATGTAAATTCCGGATGATCAAACCATATACCAGAGAAGAAAAGAATCTTAAAAGGGAAGAAGAGAGACAGAATCAAGTCACAAGCGGAGGGAAGAAAGAACTTATCTCAGGAACAAAAACAACCTTTTTCTTAAATCTGGGAGAGTAACACTTCCAACGAGGGTGGGTGGGAGTGGCAGAAGCATCCGCTCGCTGGTTTTCCCCACTGCACGGAGTCGCTCCCCTCCCTCCCACCGAAAAGAGGAGGGGTCCTGCTCTGGAGCAGCTCTTAGGTGGCTCAGGACAACCTATTGCTTAGGGTCCTGCAGATGGAGGCATTAGACACTAGAGAAAAACTGACCCCCCCAAAAAAAATACACACACAAAAACAAAACAAAACCCACAAATATCTTCCATGATATTTACAAATAAATGAAATTCACCACTCCTGTCCAGAGACCCAAACAGCCCTAGCATGCAACACCATATGTAATCTATGTGGTATGAACCCCTTTTCCTACGGCACTGACACACCACGCCCTCCTGCTAGATCTTCTGATGAGGATGACGACAATCTCAGAATCATACTTCAGTTAGAAAAAAATTGTCTGGATTCAAATTATAAAGCACTCTTACCTCATGTGGTATGTTTTGATTTTTTTTTTAAAAATCAATTATTGGTTTCTACTTTCACAACGTCACTAAACGGATCAGCAGTTAGTAACAACACAGCTTTGAGGGCGTTATTTTCTAAGCTTACGTGTCGTAACACAGTAAAGGTTTTCTTCCATACTAGCTGGTCAATTTTTTCAATGGCCTTTTTAAAAGCAGTTTTATGTCCACAGCAAAATGAGCGGAAGGCAGAGAGCTCTGCCACGGACCCCTCCCCCACATGCGCAGCCTTTCCCCGTCGGTCAATTCTTAAAAAGCAAAACATATTTCTCTGCGAGAAAAAAAATCAAGACGTTATCTTAGAAAAAAGAATTCCAAATTTTCAACAGCAAATGTAAAGTCCCACCAGTGTCTGCATCTTCACCAACACATCAGGGGAGCAGTTAGACACTTACCATGTAGCATCCAATAAGGAACGCAGCATTTGCTTGTTTTCTTTGATCAGAGCCAGTAAAATGAACAATTTTCTTCCTTATCATGGTAAGGGACTGCATAAAGATACACAATTGTTAGTATTTTTTTTTATTTCAAGTTTTCCAAAACTTTATTTTGTAATGAAGATAAATTCCAAATTTCAGCATTCACATTAGCAAGATCTTTAAAACTATTAACTTTGATACCCCAAAGTACCATGTACCTTCCCATAAGTGACAAATTCTTGGATTAGGAGAAATGTACAATTAAAGAGGAGGAAAGGAGAAATGAACAAATATATATAGATGACCTCTGAAAGAATAAATAAGAAGGTGGAGGGTGTGGGGAGGGTCTTTCATTTTCCTTCTGTTTGATTAAAAAAAAAAAAAAAAACTATTCCCAAAACCTTTAAATTAAAATAAAAGGGTATATAAAAACAGGCAAAAATAATTCTTTTTTTTAATCCTCACCTGAGGATATTTTTACATTTATCTTCAGACAGAGTGGGGTGGGGGGAGAGAGAGCGAGAGATCTATGTGAGAGGGATACATCGATTGATTACCACCCGCGGCCGGGGACAAACCACAACCAAGGTACATGCCCTTGGCCGGAATCGAACCCAAGACTCTCTGGTCCGCGGGTCGATTCTCTAACCACTGAGCCAAACCGGCCAGGGCCAAAAATAATTATCTGTTAGAAATCGGGATAGTGAATGGGGGAGAGGCCGGGGTGAAGGTGGTGCAGAGAGTACCCAGATAAGCAGGCTCCCCTGTGGTGCTGCCAACACCTGCTCTTGATCTGATGATCAAGATGATGCCCGTGCATATCTGGTTTGTGAAAATTCATTGAGTTGTCTACTCATGATCTGTACATATTTCTGCACATACAATATACTTCAATAAAAAGTTAAAAATTAAAAGGATCTCAAATGTAAAAACCAGGGGAACACATGCTTAGTTAGCATTTCTGCACCTGTATGTACTTCAGCACTGTGAGTGGGGATGGACTGGGGTAAGGGTAAGGAACAGGACGTGTTCAGTTCAATGAGCTCACATTCCTTGCCCCGAGTCAGTGATAGATGTACATAATTTCCTCTAGTTGTTTCCATGGAGTAAGAGATCCAAGTTGACTTTAAAGAAGGAAAACAAACCCAACCAGCCACACAGCAACACAAGCACAAGAGACTCTTAATTCAAGCGCTCAACACAGCCTTATCACTCCTAATTGAATAGGCAGTGATGTTCTGACCAGTGTGGATGGTCAACACTCTGTAAGATGTGCTGGTAAATGATAAAATGATTAAAAAAGGGGGGGTGGGGGACCAATACATTCTTAGTTGACCCAAAGGAGAAAAGTCCATAAGATGGCTAAGAATGGGGAAAAATTCTTTCAAAATTAAAGCAGAGGAACAACAAAGACCTGCCACTGCCTACTAGGGAGCAGGGCGTGAGGGGACGGCTTAAATACATAAGACCATAGATGCTTATATTCCTGTCCAAGAGGAAAAAAGTCCATTAAGAAGAGTTTCCATCTCTATATAAATCCATAGTGAATACACATATAATACAAAAAGAAAAGGCAATGCTACAATTTCCACTTGACAGATCAGTAGCTCATCTGACAAATGCTTCTAACATTTATGATGTGAAATTTTACGTTTGATACGCAAGTGAAAAACATGCGCCTTACCCATACATTTTTAATTATGATTTAACTTTCCTTGAAAATAAATTTTATTCTTCTGTATCATAGCCTGGTAAGTAACTGACTGAATAGAGTGGTTTTTAAAAATGACCTGCCCACAAATCCGGTATCTTTTACTTGAGAATTTACAGTGATTAATTAGGAAGTGCTAGCAGTATATACACTTCCTATTGTGCATGACCAATAATTCAATGTTTTTAAAAATCAATGGATGGAGATCTAAGTTCAAACTAAAGAAATACACTTTTGTATTGAAGAGTCTTGAGAGTCTTGAAGGTATGCTGTTTGCCCTTGCTCCTTAACTGTACGTGTCAAGGGTCAAGGTGAAGTAGTACCATATTATAGGGGAGAGTCAAGGTAGAATGAGAGTAAGTAAGAGAAGCAGATTTTTCTGTGTTTGTTTACTAACAATCCTTCCCTACCGAAGTGAAGGCAGAAAGAACAATGACCACAGCAAGGGAAGTTTCTCTTGTTAGGCTTTGGTTCCATTAGAGCAGTCAATAAAAGGTTTACTTTAATAACCAATTTCCACTTTGGCTTTTAAGAATTTGAGCAATCCAAACCAGAACCAAATGACCCAAACTTAAACTGCTCCATCAAAACTCTGGAAAAACCAGCATATACACTGTGCCTTATTAAAAGAGAAAACCACAAATATGTCCCAAACACCACTGCAGTAAAAAACATTACATTTCCTTTTTAAAACAGAGATGTGTTTTGTCTACTTTCCCCTCCCAAGGTCAGGCTAACAACGATGAAGTCAAATCTTAAGTAAAAAGGACTTTACCTTTAGCTTCTTATTTATCTTGCAACAATATCTGTAAACCATTGCCAGATTGAGTGGTCCAAAATCTGCGTAGAAGCTTTAAAAGCAAAACACAAAAACGTGTATGTATATTCTAGAGGCCCCGAATATAAATGCCTTTTTAGAGCTACAAGACCAAATTAAGACAAAAAAGTATATACCAAATCGTATCAGTCACACAAATTAAAGATACTGACTTAACTAATGGAAGAGATTATTTTGGTAAACAATACCTATTAAAAAATATGAAAAGTGGTTCAATGCCTAAATCTAACCTCAAGTAACATATGAAAATACCTTTCTGAATAAAAAGGCTGTTTTTCTACACATTTTCCACACATCTTAGTACATTAGTACTAAGAATATTTAAGTGTATTAGTACTTAGTATATTTCATTGTACTGTAATATAATTATTAAATTTAAGAAGATTCTTTCATTTTGAATTTTTCCCTAAGAATCTATTTTATTACTAAGGGTTAAAGAAAAAATATCCTGCATTTATCAATCAACAGATCTGTAATTTTTCAAAGTTATCCTATTTATAAACATACCTTTAGATTCTTCTAAATTAAAAAAAAAGTTACTAACAATCTTTTAAAAAGCAATACTTACTTCTCATATTCAAGTTCATTATCTATGCTGAAATAATGTACATTTGATGAACTCTTTGGTCTGCTGTAGAGAATGGCAAAACAAAGGCGATCTGAAATGGAAAAATTGCAATGTTCCTTCCTTCAGGTTATTTAAAATTTTTTCATATATCATGATACAACTCTTTTCAGATGAAGTCAAATTTTTATTTTTTCCATACAGGTTTCTGATGGTAAGGGTGCCAACAGACACTTTCAAAATGTCCTGACTTTGATGAGGGATAATAAATAAGCAAATTTTTTAAGGGAGAAATTGCCACAAGTTTCAATAATGACAAGTGACTTTTCACGTAGCCATATGGCTTGATTTCTGGAGGAAACTCTCATCAAAAAACGTTATAGTTTCCCCAGACTAAGAAATCTGAGCAAATAGAAGCATGCACTTGAGGGCTAGCCATCAACCTAGATGACTTTCACTATGTATCATCACTGTTTTCAAGACATCCTAAAATGATTCAATATGAAACTGTATTTTAAGTAGCTAAAGAACGCTTTCAAAAGTGCTTCAAAATGAACATTTAAGGCTATACAGAACACAAACAACAAAATGAACCATACGTTTATCCAACTGTTCTTAGGAATCACTACTACTTTTGAAGTGATTTTTACAATTAGACAAATTACTATTGCAACAGAAGCAATGAGAGGTTTCTGCACGATGAGTGTGAGATGAACTCGTGTTGCATAAATGCAGTCAGGCTGCTGCGAGGTTTAGCAAGAATGCTGGTACTAATCATGCTCAGAGGCTCCAACCTCCTCCCCCGCCCTTCCTCAGAAAAAGTTGCCTAAAAGTCCTTGGCAAAGCCAAGTCATCTGCAATACTTAGTTGTAGCAATACTAGCACTGCTAGTAGAATACTTCCACTCAAATTGTGGCAAAATCAAGTCCAGCCTTTAAAACAGTAAGAAACAAAGGATGCCAGCTTTGCCCAAACGGTAATTTAAACAATTGTCAGCATTTCAACTCACTCAACTGCTGTATTTATTTCCTCGTAAGCTCCTCAACTAAAATGTCTTGCGACCACAAACACTCAAAAGGATGACGGGCTTACTCTTTGCCAACCACAAATGACCCTTGATCCCCGTGCACAGTGACCACGGATTTTGCTCCCTTGGATGGAGACTCAACTCACCTACCAGCCAAAGGCTCCCCCTGCACAGGCCTGTTCACATTCTCCCCAAAACAAGAACATGCGTGGGGCTCGGAGTCCCAGAAGGCTACCCACGCACATGAGACAGCACTGGCCCCGGCCCCGAAGGTTGAAGGCATCTCCTGGCCAGAAATCGCGTCCTCCTCCAACTCTGTGGGCGTCGCTTTATGCCACCTAAATACGGGTGACCCCGGGGGCGCCTGGGACAGACTAGCTCCGTCCCCTCCACACTCACCTTTAATCACCTCCGCCACCAGACGGGTCCCTGTACCCTCCCGGCTCATGACTCCAAAGCATCTGGAAGGCGGGGCGGGGGCAGGACCGGATGGCCAGGGAACAACCAGCCGCGGAGAGAGGAGGCGCCACGACCACACCCCCGAAGTTTAAAAAACAAAAAGTTTAAAGGGCCGCGCCCAGGCCGTGCAAACAGTGTCGCCCTTCGGCCACCCACTCCACGCACACTCCGGCGGGCGAGTCAAGCCCGGAAGTTGAAAACTTCTCAAATGGCCCCGATGGGGCACGGGTGCCACCTCCAGGGCGCCCCGGCTGAGCCTCGCCCCGCCTTGGGGACGCGGGGGACGCCAAGCAGCCATCAGGCCCTCCGGCGCCACAGCAGGGCGGCCAGCAGAGCGCCAGGCAGTGGCCGTGAAGGAAAGCAGCTCCGAGAGCCCGTTAGAGGGCTTCTCGGGAGAGGAGCGCCAGGCGGTGAACCTCACCGAGCGACACCGGCTGGGGCACCTCCCTCAGCGCCCCGACCGCCGCCACCAGGGGGCGCTGTGGCCGGGCCGGGCGTGGAGGCGCAGCCCGGGGAAAGCCCGACCCCCTGGCCTCTGCGCGGAGACCCTGGCAGCCTGGAGCGGTCCAGACCCGCGGAGTGGCGGGCCCATTGGGAGTGCTGACGTCGTATTTCCAATGGACGTCTTTCAAAGAGTTCAAAATCTAAACGTGAGCCTACTTCTGCGGTCATTCATTCCTTTAAAGATCTCAGTGTGGTTACAAAAGATTTCTGACACCATACTAAGCAAACATTTAAAGTATTTTCTAATCTACGTGCCTTTTAGTCTCAAATGAAAAAGAATTAAGATACAGTATAAGTATAGTCACAATTTTGTTATAATGTTACTCTAATAATCCGTGAAAAAGTTTGCAACGACTCTCTCTTAAAACAGACAAGCAATACAGTAACAACTCTTTCCCAAGGAATACACTGTATTTATAAACCCAATACAATATATACATTATATATTGTACATATGATTTTGCCTCAAAAGTAAACCATCCTAACTTTATTCTAAAATTCCAGACTAATCAAAAACTTTTAATGAGAACAACAAAACCATAAATTCATTTTTGTGCCATCCCACTGCAGAATGACTTTCTAAATGAAAATCTAAAAGCCTTAAGAGATTCTTGACTGCTAAACTGATACCCACTTTTAAAAGGGTCTTGTGGCAACAAACACATAAACAAAGTCCAGAGGGAAACTGGAAAAATATTTTAAATTGATCTCATGAAGATGCTCACCTTCAATTTTATGTTCTAAAAAAATAACAAAATGCAAATTTAAACTGCAATGTCTTAGTTTTCCTTCAGACTGGCAAAAATCAAAGTGGTTTGAAAAGGCACTGTAGTCGGGGAGGCTGTGGAGAAACTGACTGCCTGTGGGTAGGAATAAAAGCTGGGACAACTCCCATTCACGGCAATTCAAGGCACAACACCTTGCCACCTCAAAATATACCTTTTGGGTTATCGATGTTTAAGCTGATTATTAAGAAACAAAAGACTGCCCAGCCGGTGTGGCTCAGTGGTTGAGCATGGACCCATGCACCAACAAGTCACTGTTTCGATTCCTGGTCAGGGCACATGCCCAGGTTGTAGGCCTGATCCCCAGTGGGGGGCATGCAGGAGGCGGCCAATCAGATGTTCTCTCTCATAGATGTTTCTGTCTCTCTCTCCCTCTCTCTAATAACAATAAAGAAAAAAAAGAAAAAAGACTAAGAAAGAACACTTGACCTTCCCCCCTTAAGAAATTCAAATAGAAAAACCTGCTTAAAGGAAGGGAGCATGACCTTAGCATCATAATATGAATTAAATATGGCAGACAGGGAAAAATCTGGCAAAGCCTGTTTGCTGGACTTCCCTCAGTATCCCATTGTTCCTGGGTGCATCAGCAAGAATTTATCACACCATTGCTCTCTCTGCCTCTCTTTACCCCGTAAATTGCCTGCTTCCCCTTTGAAATGCCAGATCCTTGCCTCCCTCTCCTTTGTCCAGAATGGCATATAAACCTCAACTGTCCAATATCTCCTTGGGTCTCATATTCTTATGGCACCCCTAAACATGCATCCAAAATAACTTCAGACATTTTCTCCTGTTACTCTGTCCCACGGTACTTTGATTACTAGCCCAGCCAGAAAGGTAGAGGAAAATTCTTTCTGGTGCCCCCACAGAACCTTTCATAAAAGGAATGGTCAGAATACCTAAAACTTGCAGGAGCTAAGCTCACAGGACAGATTGTTATGTTTTGTGCCTGCTTGGTAAGAATATTTAATTAATTACTGTTGTGTGGAAAACATTTTTATCCGAGACTAGCTTTCGTTATATATAAGCTGACAGAAGCAAGGTTGTAGAGGAGTGGATAAACCCCATCCACCTGGAGTTTTCCTGCAGTGACAGTTATCCATCAAGAAATCCTCACGGACATAAGGTTGGGGAAAGCAGGAGGGGGGTGGGAGTGGGAAGGAAGGGGTCAATGGGAAAAAAGGGGGGAACATCTGTAATGCTTTCCACAAAAGCAGCAGCAGCAGCAGCAGCCACTGCGGCCCTACGAGCTGGGCAAGATCAAACTGCTTCTGGGCAGTTTCCATCAAAGTGATACAAAGAGCTCAGACCTGGCACTGTTAACATGTACTAAAACATCTGGATCTCAGTCACGGAAGTCAGGCACTTGAGCCAGAAAGAGAAGTAAAGAGAAGTAGAGAAGTCACACAGAAGAAGTAAAGCTGTCAACGTCAGCAGACAGATATTTCCCCAGGATCCAAAGCCAAGAACTTTGATAAATTCTAATTTATCTACCAAAATAAACATTTCGGGGTGGGGTGGGGGTGGGGGGGTAAGTAAATGATCAGTCTCATTTCCAATTTCTTGGCAGCAAATGAATAAAAAACTTAATTTAATGAGTATGTTTAATATATAATTGCCTTGTTAGAAGCAAACTCTTATTCACAATATTCATTTTTTACTTCCAATGGTATTTCAAGGCCCCCCTAAAAATGTTAGGGCTTATCACAATTCTAGGCCACTAGTCATATCAATAAAATACTATTTTCTATAGGAAAACCTGTCGGGGAATTTTTTTTTAATGTCATGCCAATTTGGCTGTGGTCTCTAAGAAAATGGTGCAGAGGAGAGAGAAGGTACATATTAAATTTTTTAAAAATGTTAACCATGGCAATAGATCTGAAGACACTTTATGAAAGAAATTATAGCAATGGCCTATAAACTCATGAAAAAGGCATTCAAAACAGGGAAATGCAAATTAAAACCACAATGAAATTCCACTTCACAGCAACTAGAATGACTAAAATCAGAATGACAACACCAATTGTTGGAGAAGGTATAAAGCAATTAGAACTCTCAAACACTGCTAATGGGAGTGTAAAATCGTCTTAGACACTGGAAAAGTTTAGCAATTTCTTACAGTTACATACAGTTTCCCTATAACCAACCCTGCCATCCAACTTCTAATTGTGTTTTTAATATTAATTTTTTTCCTTTATTGATTTTAGAGAGAGAGGAAGGGAGAGAGAGAGAGAGAGAGAGAGAGAGAGAGAGAGAGAGACATTAGATGAGAGAGAACATCAATTGGTCACCTTCTGCATGCCCCCCAATGGGGATTTGGCC